ATAATAATAAGGTAGCTCAACAATTGTCATTATATCAGACACATAAAAATGTTTAACTCAAATTTGTAGAATCAATTTCTATGACAACTCGACCCAGGAAAGCAGTCCAATAAGGGGAGAGAGTGGCGCTACGGAGCGGCTCTTAAAGAGTTTCCAAGATGGCGAGGCTATCTTTGATAGTGAAATGTGGGGTGCATGAATGAATTGAGTTATACATTGAAAACAGAAAAATTAAATATTAGATGCGCCTTTTGGTGAAATGACCAGGAGAGTTGGAAGAACATTATGGTTAAGCATGCTCGCTTAAGAGAAATCCTAGGATGGGTGATCTCCTAGGACGTTCTCCATTCAACTGTGGGACAAAAGCGTATAGATCACGTTCAAATCCAGGGTGGGTTGAAATTGGCTTGATCCAAAGTGGACAGTTCCTCTGGTAGTTGGAGCCAGGACATGACAAATGGTATCAGAGTCAGACCCCTCTAGTAGATGTGTAGTTCGAAGATGAACCAACATCCTTGCATTTTAAAAAATACACTACAACATCCCCATAGTTTGCTCCATTACAAGCTTTCGTCCTTCCATCAATATTTTATAACTTTATCATTAAATGTCTAATGAAAAGATAAAAATGCCCTTAATTAATAAGTCACTTGCATCAAAGAACATCAATAATGTAAAAATATCAATTTTCAAAACAAAATCAGTCAAAAAAATCATAAAATAAAAAATTTCCAAAAATTCAAGAATACAAAATACAAATGGTGCTTATTCTTTTAAGAACACAAAAATTCCAATAAAAAACTCAATAACAGCAAAAACTTTCATCTCCTCCCAATAAAGATCCACATGACATTACCATATCTCCTTTCATTTCTTCTATTCTTTATCTTCCAATTGGTGCAACTTCCCCTCCTTTTGAATAATAATTTGAGACTATAACTATTAAAGGACCCAGATTTGCTAATACACAATGGAAACTTTTGCTTCTCCATTCCAGCAACAAATACAAACTCTCATTGCTACTGTTCATATTGTTCCCCACAAATCAAGCCTGACGGGCCCCTTTCCAACCACAACTCCTATTTCTACTACTAACCCATAGACTCAACAACTTCACACTATAGTAGCTTGCTCTTTTGATAATATTGTCAATAACGGTGAAGGTAGATAGAGAGTCAAAGAAGGATTGATAGAGAAATAAGGGTTTCAATTTACGTAAAAAAAGGAAAGTTGTTAAGGATATTTTGGATAAATAAAAAAATCTCTCTCTTCTGGCTGTTTAATTTCTCTTTGACTTGTACTAAAAGTTGGTAAAAAATGGTCGGAAGGACAGAAATTTGTAACAGAGTAAACTATGAAGATATTATACTGTGTTTTTTAAAATGTAGGGATAAACTAATAATTTATGGAAAACCCAGGGTAAAATTATAGTTTCTCTAATTAGTATTATAATTTTATCATGTTTCAAATCGCCACAAATTGTTGCATTGCTAAAAGGAAAAGTTGGGTTAGTCGTAATATCTTAATAACAATTGTAAATAGGAAGTAAATGGAGTTTGATGACGCCGGTACTGTGATGTTTAATCTGAGATGGTATATTAATGTTTAATCAATTATAATTGGTTAGAGTACCATTACTATCTGCTCAACATACTGAACGAACATGAAATGGTTCTCCTTGAATATTTGAGGTCAAATGGATACCAAATCGGTCAATGACAGAGTTAGCAGTAATATGGATACCAAATCGGTCAATTCTATTCATGATCTCTTGAATTTTATAAAAGTTCATTCATGATCTTGATTAAATTCCTGTAAAATTATTTTATTTTAGCGAGAGGCATAATCATTACTGAAATGTAAAAATACAGAATCATAATAGGTTCTCTCAAGATTCAAAAAGTTATAAGAATAATTACAGAAAATACGGGTCAAATTTATGCATTAGGCTTTTTTTATTTATACAAGTTTGTTAAATATAAAATAAGTGAACTTCTAGAACATTCACTATTCGGCTATATGTATAGGAAGAAATTAACGGCCCTTTTGTTTATGAGCTCAAAGCCTAAAAGAGACTTGAGGACCCAACTTAGCTTCCTATGTTGAGCCTATAATTGGGCCGACTGTATACTGCATTTTAAGGTTAATTATAATTTAGTATACAATTTTCAAAAATTTTTTATTTTATGTCCCACTGAAAACGTTTACTATCAAGTATTTTTTAAACCTCAAAAAAAAATTTTCAAACGGATATTTACAACTACAAATCGAAAATAGCAAAAGGATTTTTTTGCTGACATAGATTTTTTTTTTTTTTTTTACCAATAAAATCCAAAAGGTTTTATTGCTCACAGTGACACACAACCCCTCCCCTCCACCCCACCCAACTATTCTTGTCTGCAACAACAACCAAATATCCTTCTTTGCCATGAGCTAGTTAACCATTGCAAGCAATCTAGTAATTGGGTTTCAGCTTTAGAGAGAGAAACTGACGAGAATAAAAGCGAAAATCTAAGAAAGAAACGTTTTGTTTTTTCATATACAAGAAAAAAGAAAATGAGAAATGATAGACTCCTTAGATTTCTCCACTGGGTTTCGCCATCCAAACAACCACCATAAGGAAAGTTATTGTTTTTCGCCATCCAAATCCTTAGATTTCTCCATTGGGTTTGCAGAGAATCTTTATAATGATATCACTTGTTTTTTCTTATTTTCACTATTGATATCGTCTTCTTCCTGTGGAATACTGGTGATTCAGCTGCTTTTCTCTATCTTCAATCGAGACCAGACAACAATGGCGCTCCAACATCAGTAACACCTAGACACAAATTTGTTTGAATTTCACATATCTACCCCTTCGATTTTCTTTTTGTGTTTATTTTAGTCCCAATTTATGAAGGTGTTTGAAGCTTTAGGGTTTAATTATGAAGTTTATGGTGATATCAGCACGGCAGAATCATTTCAGTGGTTGTGGGTTTGAAAAGGAGGCGATCGGAGCAAAATCGTTTAAAGCTGAAAACAAAAAATTTATGAAGTTAGAGTTTTGAGGGGTTTTGGGAAGGAGGAGACTAGAGAGTGGAAGGTGGCTAATCGGCTGGTCGTCAATGAAGAGATGGCATGGCGAGAAGATACAGTGCAAAAGAAAGTAACGGTGAGGACTGCTGAGTTGTCCACCAGTAACTCAATAAAAAATCCATCTTTGCACAACATTGCAGTCCTATTTATATTTTCAGTTTGCCATGAAAATTGGAGGTACTTATTGAAAATTTTTTTAATAAATATCTAATTGTAAATATTTTTTATTGAGATTAAAATAGAAAATTTTCAAAAGTTGAAATATTAAATTTATAATTAATAATTTTCTCAAAAATTAAAAAATTATAAAAATAATTGTCGAAAATTCGAATCAAATTCATACATTAGACTTTTTTTTATTTATATAAGTTTCTTAAATATAAAATAAGTAAACTTCTAGAACATTCACCATTTGGCTATATGTATAGGAAGAAATTAACCGCCTTTTTGTTTATGAGATCAAAGCCAGAAGGAGACTCGAGGACTCAACTTAGCTTTCTATCTTGGGCTTATAATTGAGCCGAAAGTATACTTACATTTTATTACTACTTCTGTTTTATAATATTTATTATATTTAAAAAAATAATTCATTTCTAAATATTTATTATATTTATAATTTTATTGAGTAATAAATTTTTTTTTAATATTTACCTTTTGCATATGACCAATAATTATTATTTTAATTTAATTATTCTTAGATAATTAGTATTAAATTATGGGTAATATATTCAATTTACTTAATAATTTGTTATAATTTAGAGAAATTTAATGATTTTTTTAGGGACGTGAAATTTCAAATGTGACAAATATTATGAAATAGAGGTAATAGTTTCTAATTAATATAAATCGATTCTTAAGTAATATATTTTTAATTTTTCTTTAGTTTTTCCTATTTAATTTTATAAAGTCTTTGTAAATATACTAACATACAATATTTTTATCAAAATAATATTCGAAAGAAATGTTTAAAGTGTATGCAACATTTTTTTTCTTGACTTAATATTTTAATGCATATTCTTTTTATTATCATTATTAAATATGCAATAAATTTTATTTAATTTGTTTTTGTTATGTGCACATATATTGTGAATATCTTTAAAAGGAACTAATTTTGTGTTATATATGTCAATTAATTTTAATCTTTTAGAACTTTAGTAAAAGATTACAATTTTGGGAATTATTTAATTTCTTTTAGTAAAAAATAATAAGATTATGAAGAAGTGTGTCGAAATTTTTTATATTTATGCGATTATCAAAATGGGTTGATGTGATAAATTCGAAACGAACATACTTAACATGCGACATATGATTAAGGTCAATACGAACACAACCTGTTTAATAATCGTGTCAAATATTTAAACACGAACATGAAACATAAATTAACTATTGACATTAACACAACACATGTAACTCGTTTAATTAAATGGATGATATACGAATAAAAAAATTCAATCAAATTTGATTAAATGAGTCGTATATAGGTAAAAAATACAACATATATAATACGTGTGTAACAAGCATAATCTTATATATATATTATTTGAAATTACATATTTATTTTCAAATAAATGGATTAGATGAATCAATCCATGACACAATCTGTTTAAACTCGTGTCATATATAGATGACTCGTTTAAAACACGGATTGTTAGACGAATCGTGTTTCCGTGAATTTTGACACCGTAAATTACATAAGGCTTGAATTGATAATAATGGAATCAATGTATTTTGACTTTGAGGGGTGAATTTAATTTAGCACTAGGAGAGAGCGATAAGGATTGCAAAGCACTCAAATACAGTGAAACAGACAAACAAACAAGGCACTTGCAGGGGACAATAATAAAATGCTGTTTGCACAGCCATTACCAGCCTCAGCACTCAGCAGCAGTAAGTTAAAAAGCGTAAAAAACGCAATTTTAGTTAAGGTGAGTGAGTCTGTGACAGAGAGAGAAACTGAATTATTATTACTTTTAAAGTAAAAAAAAGAAAAAAAAAATGGGACTAAGTCAATCCTTATTATCCCTCCTACTGCTTCCATCTCCCTCTCTTTCTCTTCCTCCTCCAAACCCTAAATCAATCAGTTGTTGCATAACTCAAAGCTTCAATTTCCTCCAAATATTTTGCAGATCCGACTCTTATCACATCACTCTTTGCTTTTGCTTTGAACCAGAATTCGTATAACTACTCAGTTTAGGGGTTGGGCTTTGACTTTTTGAGTTGGTGTTTTGTCACAACAACTAAAAGAGGAACACCGTTTAAGTACTATTGCAATAGCATAGGTATATTCATGGAGGGGAATTCCGGTGGTGGAGGAGGAGGAGGCGTAGCTGCTGGTGCTACTGGTGTCAGTGGTGGTGGTGGAGGTGCAGGAAATGATGTGGAGCTGATGTGTAAAACGCTGCAGGTAGAGCATAAGCTTTTCTATTTTGATCTGAAGGAAAATCCACGTGGGCGTTACTTGAAGATATCTGAAAAGACGTCCGCCACAAGGTCTACCATAATCGTTCCTTTCTCTGGAATTTCTTGGTTTTTGGATCTCTTCAATTACTATGTTAATTCTGATGATCAGGACCTTTTTAGCAAAGAATTGCAGCTTGACACCAAGGTATTTTCCCTTTTCCTCTTTCTTTTCTTTTCGCTTTTTTTTTTTTTTATTTTCTTTTCGCTTTTTTTTTTTTTTTAAATCTTAATTTCTTTAACGCCACATTTTGAAATTTCATTGCAAGGTATTCTACTTTTGACCATTGGTGAAAACAGGAGGGCCGGTCTTGGAGGTATTCTTATATATATATTATATATATACTATTATTATATATATATATATATATATATATAATATATCATCATAATATTTTAACCATTTTTATTGCACAGCCTTGTATTTTTCCTATATGCATATGAATATTTACATTTTATTGCACAGCCTTGTATTTCCTTGAATTGATGTCAAATGCCTTTTAAGGTGTTTGAATTGTTAAAAGTAGCTGGTAATCTTTTAATTTTCCAAATAGACTAAAAATCTAGCTAGGGTGATTTCATTTTTTTGCTCAAATTAACAAGTCATTTGATAAAACTACGGTTCTCAATTATCCTTCATCTTGCCCCAATGGGCAGCTATTTAATGCCAAATAAGTTTGTTTTTGAAGTTATGCTTGAAAATTGGACTGAAACATTATGGACCGCACTGTATAAATTAAGTTGAAACCTTTTCACTTTTTCCCAGTTGAATAGTTGATCAGAAAAAGCTAGCTATCAAAAGAGTCTGGTTTTGTGTTTGTGTTCTTTGTACATCATCTTTTTTCTCCGTCTCTGAAGACTGAACACATCCTGTTGTTCATCATACTACAACTTGCTGTGAAGTAACTGGTGAATAATTGGAAGTCAAATTATGTGGCTTAAGAGAATGCATGCTCTAGCTTTGTATTTTTTATTGGAAATTTGATACGAGTAAAATAGTGGTAGAAGTTGATGGCATGCAATATCCAAAATTAACCAATTTGGTTATCCTGGTCTGAACAGTTATAGGTCCGGGAGATAATTTTGTGGATGCGGCTTATGGAAATAAATGGATAAAGCCAAAGTGTTTCCAGAATTTTAAAAACAACAGGATTTCTGTTTGTTTATGCTCCAAAATGAAAATATTAATTGCTGTTTTTCTCCTAAAAATATACAAATAGCAGACTGTAAGGTTTTGAGTATGTTGTGGTGAAGTATAGATGGTATTTAAGTTTGGCTGGATTATGTTGCAATCTGTGTGATGCCTTTACAAAGCCCAGGTGCTCTTTCTATAATTCCAATGGAAATTAGGGTAACTAGCTCTTGTCTGATCCTGATATGGTTTTTCATTGATAATGCATCTTGGAGGCAATTCTTTTCTTTTTTTTTTTTTTTTTTTTTTTTTTTTTTTTTTTTTTTTTTTTAAGTTTTTTTTTTTTTTTTTTTTTTTTTTTTTTTTTTTTTTTTTTAAGTTCTTGCTAATAAAATCAAGCTCCCAATCTTGAATAGAATCAGTATCTTTGCAGGATAGGAACAATCCTCACCAGTCTTCACAGTTTATAGGATTTCATAGAATATGACATAGTCTAATAGCTGGATTTTGTCCAAAGAGGACCGAGTACTGATGGATCTTATCTTTCCTATGTTGCAACTAGATCTCATTAAGAATAGGCCTGCTTGTTATATTTTTAGATTTAGAAGAACTTTTCAGTGGACTAGAGATCATAGCGTGTCCCCAAAGTCAAACATCACTTATTTTTGAGGTAGAGTGGGGGTGGTCGGGAGTTGGAGAATTCAAGAATAGTTGAAGGACCCATTTCACCTCTTTTCTTTTCTTTCACTTTGGGCCTCTGTTAGACTTAGTACATTCTTCTTGTAACTGCTCTAATAAACATATACATGCAGGTATCTGAAGCTTCTGTCAGTAGAAATCGCAGTACTATTATTGTTCCAGCTGGAAGTGCACGGGATGAGGGTTGGGCAGCATTCAGGAATATTTTGGCGGAGATCAATGAAGCATCAAGGCTCTTTATGCTACCCAACCAGGTGTCTCTGTGTTGCATGCACTTTTTTTCTTCCGTTTTCCTTGGAAAAATATTTATACCATTTGTAAGATGGATCTCACTTGTCAATTTTTACCCAATCTATTTGTTGCATGTTAAAGCAGCAAAGTTCTGAATCATCAGAGCGTCTTGTTGGCCTGTCTGATGATGTTGGGGCTGGCTTCATATCTGGGCACAGTAGCCAACCTGCTCCAGCATCTGAATTGAATGTAGATAGGTCAGTTGAACTTGCGCCACAGGAAGAAATTGGGAATTTGGGGGTCTCAAAGGTAATCAGAGCTGACCAGAAGAGATTCTTCTTTGATCTTGGTAGCAACAACAGAGGTCATTTCCTGAGGATTTCTGAGGCAAGTTTTACCAAAATTTTTACTAAAGGGTTTATTTTCAGTTCTTTTTTTACTATTTATTTAAAGATATAAATCTTTTCTGGGTTTCCTTGTGTGTTTTTTTTGTATTTATAGGCTCTAATTATTGAACATAGGTTGCTTTTTTGGATTGAATAATGGACAATTGAAAGAGGATCATTGTTTCTTCATTTCATCTCTTTATTTCCTCATTCTCTTTCTGAAACTCAATATTTTTCTTGTTCAATCAAAACTGAACATCCTATATCAACTTGTATCAAAGCAAAACCTTGATCCAGACTCTCCCTGACCTGCAGTGGCATTACAACCCTATGTTTAAAAAGAAAAAAAAAAAGAAAGAAAATTTGTTGCGTTCAATTTGTAAAACAATAAAACTCTATTTTGTCTCCTCACCGCCTCCAAAAGAGTCTCTCTCTCTCTCTCTCTCTCTCTATTAGGGTTATAGCAACCAGGATAATTAAAATAGGTGTTCTCACTGTTGATGAAGTTAGATCTTGGAGCTTTCATGGATTGGGTAAATCATCAGAGGATTTCCTTGACTTGTATAACGTCATAGGTATTACTCATATTCATATATGCTAAAAATGAATTGATAGGGACTGCTAGGTGATACTGGCATAAAGTTGATATAGAGAGAGATTTGGTGAGGCTCCTATTGATTCGTGGCCAGAGATAAGACAAAATTGAAAGAAAAGTATATATCTTTGCACCTACTATGAAAGACAGTTGTCAGAAATCTTCATGAGGAACCCATGGTAGTCATTTGAAGCTTTGTTAATTGTTAAAGGTATGATATTACGAGCACAATGACTTTCTTTTTCCCAGTAGGTCTGCTTGGAATGGCTTTTGGTTTTATTTCTCAAATATAAAAGAAAGATCTATTATGAAAATCTATATATTTTTCTTTTTTGGTGTTGAAGCAGGAAAAAGAGGTTTACACAAAAAAGGAAAATAATTGAAAAATGGTTTTTCCTTGATTCATTATACGTTTTCCAAGACACAAGCTTTTAAGTGTAAGAAAACAGAAAAAAAAAAATCCAAAAAGAGAAATGTTAGCAAACCCCTTAGATTAAGGCTACCAATTGCTTTAAAGTTTTAACTACTCACCAATGTTCTAATGAATCTCAAACCAACTATTCCTTCTACTAAGACTACCAACCAAAAGGTCTTTTCCAGCAAGGACAAGGATAATTAGATTCATTACCTCCTCATTCTTGTTCTACAATTGTGAACTGTAAAGTTTCATCAACCACTCATACTGTTTCTTGTTTTGCCCATTATTTAGTTTTTTAGCTCATCATGGTGAACCTTCGAACAAACTAGATGAGATTTTAGTACTGAGCCTATGGAAGAGTATCTTGTACTTGTGATTGGCATGAAGGTGCTTTTATTTATATTAGGCGACTAGTTTTTGGTATGCCTGTTGAGGGAAGTGACAAGTGATATTTGGAAGTGTATTCGTAATTTCCATTTATTTCTTAAATGTGAAAATAACATTTTTAAGGTTCCATTTATTATGGGAGTGCTTTGAATGTGGCTTCTAAAGTTTTAATTTCTAACTTGAAATTTAACTAGTGCCACATCCTTGGTCATTTAAAGTAGCCTGGGTAGTAAAAACAGCTTTACCTCTTCATTATTCAGATAAAATCTAGTGTGATGTTTAGCCCATATTGTATTAGGTCATCCTGGGCTTTATTTATATATGACTAACCATGAAATAGCACCTATTAAGTCTAAGGGCAAGAATATTGTCCTAAACATGCAAAACCTTCACCAAAGGATTGGATGTATAAACTTCATCAGTTATCAAGTCTTAAGGGCAAGAATATTGTGCTAAAACGTGCAAAACTTTCGTCAGAGGATATGATGTATTATCTTCGTGATGCAAATCCCAATGCTAGGGATTTTAGAAGTACTCATTTTAGGAAAAAAATAAATATAGAAAGTAGAAATTAGATTAGGCTTCCTAATCAGTTATTCAAAACACTATAGGAGACTTTGATATGAGAATCATTTGAGAATAATATTATCGAGAATTAATTTCTCTCTTCCTCAAGGATTTCATCCTTGTTTTGCCTTCATTCTTTCTGGTTCTACATCACTTTATCTTTTTCTTAGGAGTTTCATTGGATCTCTTTGATACTGCCGCTTGTTCTATGATTTTAGATTGTCTTGCTTTCTGTTCCATGACCATTAATTATTTTGCCCCCTCTTTGTTATGGGCTTTGTCTTGCCTGCTTATACCTTAGATGCCAATATTTGATGCCTCATTGCTTTAGGTAATGCTTGTTATATGTTACTATTCATTCTTTTGCAAGTGTGATGTGCTGGTGATAAATATCTGAGCATGTTGAATTGTCCCTTTTTGTGCATGCTCATTTCCTTCTACTTCAAAGCACTCACACTTTGTTTCCTTTTATACTACCATTGGGCCATATGGTTGTATATGGTTGTATGGTTGATGAAATCTGGTTCATTGACACTGGATTCAGCCAATTTTGGGACATTCTGAGTCTAGAGTTATTGGCGTTGCTTGATAATGAAGCTCAAGGGTGGCAGAGGCTTTTGAAACACTTCTACTTTGTGCCTTGCACATCCCAAAAGGCTTTTGTATCATAGTATAGGATGTTAGCAATGGGAATGGTGGTTGCTGTGATGGGGCAGCGTGAATTGGGGATTGTGACCATTTGGGGATGTAACATTGTGTGTGAGTTGACATTATCCCTTTTAACCTAAAACATTTGGTCACTCTGTTTGCTTCAGCCTTATATTTTCCATAGAATAAATTGATCCCATATTTTCTTCTTAAATTTCCACATACACCAGAGTTTATAGAGTAGCAAAATTGAAATACTTAAGAAAGCATGTTTACTTGATTTCCAAAAAAGGAAGAAAAAAGGGGGTGGGCATATGGATGGTAAAGAATGCTAAAAATATGATATAAGATAGCGAAAATACTGTTTTTTTTTTCAATCTATTATTCTGTTTTTGGGGTGATTAAACTGTATTATCGTGGTATCTTTGAAGGCATTGGAATTAAAGTTTTATCACAATTGCAGGTTGCTGGTTCTGATAGGTCGTCCATAATTCTTCCGCTATCTGGGCTGAAGCAGTTTCATGAGATAGTGGGTCATTTCGTGGAGATCACAAAAGAGAGAATTGAAGGAATGACAGGTGCAAATGTTCGCACTGTGGATCCCCCTCAGAGATGAATGTGCAGAAACAAAATAGTATTATTATATTTGCTTTGATGCTGCAAATAGGTGTTTGATTAGGGGGTGCAGTTGTGTTTAGTTGGTTTCTTGTTAAAATTCTTACCTCTTCTCATTCAAGTCTATAAATAATCCGACCCGATTTATCTGTTTGATGAGCAGAGAAAAGTTACGGAGCTGGTAGTCGGTCAGTAGCTTTAAATAGGGGAATAACAGAGGAAGCGCATCAGATATTTATTTGTAACTGTCGGTTTGATAGTGTGGCTATGGCACCCTTTGTTACATTTTCAATAATGCTGATTCCAGTTTCAATGCCTAATGGTGGTTGATGCTCCTTTAGCTTGTACTTATTCAGGTATTGGGTTGTAACTATTGACTTTTGTGTAATTGCAAAAATGACAGACTTCTCTTTCTTTCCCCTTTCTTTCGTGAACCCTTATGCTATATTGCTAGTACTAGATGGCCTCTCAAAGTTACACAACTACACGATGTATAACTTTATGGCCGAATATATAAATTTACCTTTGAACTTTCTTATTTTAATTTTATATCACTTTTAACTTTTATTTTGATTTATTAAATATTTTAATTTTTAAATTTGCGTTATTAAATATTTCAATTTACAAAATTAGATTAATTAAACACTCATTAAAAAATTAAAATTTATAAAAATTATTAAACACTTTAATTTTCAAATTTATGTTATTTAATATTTCAATTTATAAAATTAGATCAATTAAACATAATTAAATACTCATTAAAAAATTAAAATTTATATAAAAATTATAACACTTTAATTTTCAAATTTATGTTATTATATTCATTAAAAAATTAAAATTTATAAAAATTATTAAACACTTTAATTTTCAAATTTATGTTATTTAATATTTCAATTTATAAAATTAGATCAATTAAACATTTATCAAAAAATTAAAATTTATGAAAATTATTATTTTAAAAGTCATACTAACTATATGTCATGTTGATATTTTTTGCAAATGAAAGTCAATCAAAAACTCTAAATTTTATTGATATTAGTGTCGACAAGTATGTAATATTATTAAATTTATAAGTTCAAGAACACAATAGGTTATTTGCAAAGTTTAGGGTGCCACAGGGTTAAAGTTGCAAAATTCATGGGCCACTGGTAAAATTTAGGATATTACAAGGTTAAAATTGTAAAGTTCATAAGTGAATTTATGTATTCAGCAATAATTTTGTTAACTCCATTCCAAAGAGTAAAATTTAGCCAAATAAATCATTCACCCCTGAAATTTGACCAAAAAAACCTTATGACATTGAACTATAAAATTGACATTGTAGCATCCTGAACTTCACTTTTTGTAACAATTTCACTTTTTCTTACACTAAACACAGTAAATTTTAAACTTTTTTGGCTTTTATATGCAAAATGTTGGTTTAATATGTGGCTAATACAACTTTTGGAATAATAATTTTATATTTTTTAATTTTTCAATATTGAATCAATATAGTTTTATAAATTAAGGTGTTCAATAGGTCAAATAAAATATTTAACATGTACAAGTTTATAAGTTGAAGTGTACAATGGGTCAAAATAAAGGGTACCTCAAAGTTTTTTATAAAAAATACAGGGTGGGTAAATTTATGTATTGAGCCGTAAAATTTATGTAAAAGTGTTGAAGAAATTAAAATACAAAATTAACTTATGTAGAAATATGTATGAAACCTACGCATGACTCTATAATGTGTATCATTATTTATAATGCGATTAAATATAGTTTATGTAAATTTTACATATAAATCAAAATTATATAAGCTCGATTCAATATGTAACTAAGCTACCATTGTATAATTAATTAAATCCAAAATTTAATAAATTATTATTATGATACATAATAAAAAAATTAGGAAGATTAATTAATTTTAAATAAGAATATGTAATTTACTTAAACAGCTTTACTATTAATCACTACAAAAAAAACGCGATTTTGCGACCGATTTTTGTGTCAATCGCAATATGGCGATGATGTTACGATCATTTGCGATGAAAGTTGAAGTTACAAAAATTTTAATATTCACCGACGGATTTGCGACCAATCCCTGACAACTTTCGCGACGGATTTGCGACTGATTGCAGATCCGTCACAAATTCTACGCTAATAACTCCTGCAGGTTTGGTTTTTGTTTTGCGACTCAATTGCGATGAATTTGCGACTGATTTTGAGACGGATCTGCGACCGTTTCACGGTTCGTCGCTAAAATGCGCGCTGCAATTTAGCGCCGATTTTAGTTTCTGGTTTGCAAGGGATCAGTGACAAATCTGCGATAGATATTTTTGCTACTGATTATGGTGGTCGCAAGTCGGTCGCAATTTCTTTGAATACAAAACGATATCGCAGGATTAAAAATTGTCGGTTGTAAAAACTTAAGGCTTTATAATGCCTTGGTCGCCTTGGGTGCGATCGTAGCGTGCCTCTTCCCTTCTTTCTCCGTTTCCGGCAACTATGTCTCCTCTTTGTTGCAGCAACGGTCGCCGGAGAAGCCACTGCGGAAAAGGTTACAGCTTGGTCGACGGTTGTCCTCCATTTATTTGCGTCTCCTCTGTGGCTCTGCGGAAAAGGTAAGTCTTTATTATTAATGTAATTTTTTTTTTTTTATTATTTTGTTTATGCCATAGCAAGTTTAGGTTTGATAGCAGGTTTAGGTTTTTCAGTAGAAAAAAAAAAAACTATAGTCAATAAATAAACAAAAAAAACAAAGGCAGCGTATGAGCTTAAAACAAAGGTTTTTCAGTAGATTATTCTAGCTTCATTTTATAAAGATTTTCAAATTACATTTAAATACAACCAATAGATAGTAATTACAACTTACAATAAAGAAATGACATATAGAAAATGTGTGAACGTTTTATGGAAGTGTAAATATAATTTTTTTTTCATATTTATCCTTCGTATATGAATAATAATTAATATTTTAATTCTTAAAAAAATTTGGTGTTTGGATATATTAAATTAAAAATAATACAATCAACTTACTTAATAATTTATAATAATTTAAATAAATATAATTTTTTATTTTTAAAATCATGAAATTCCAAACCTGAAATATTCAGGATCGGAGGTATATATAATTCGCTTTAGAATGATAAATTCAGTAATTATTACACAAAGGGACTCCAGCAAACTGATACAGAGGAGAATAAATGGAATAATTTTTTATTTTTATTATATTTTGGAAAGGGTTATCACATAAAATTTGAAAAAGAAAAAAAAAAAGAAAAAGAAAATGCATAGTGGAGTTTAAATAGTGTAAGGTGGGGGCTTGGGCAAGCCTTTAACAAGTCCACATAGCATAGCATTGTCAGGTACATTGTACTCATCTCTAAGAGATCTTGCAGGAGAAAGAACGCTGGCATAAAGCTGTTGTCCCAAGTATGTCCTCTCCCACATCTCAGATCTTAGGTTCCACATCCCACAATTGTCGAATGTCAACAGAATTGCTGCCCAAGATTTTGGGAATACTTGGACTGTCGTCCTGCTCACTGCGTCAAGAAGATTGTAGTTCTTCCTCTTCTCAGGACTCCATGTGCCGGCCTCTACTCTGTTATTCATTTACAAACGTTTGTTAGAGTTAAAACACAATATATATAATTCAAATCATAAGTTTCAGAAGCATTTCTTACGCCACTGCAAAGAAGGAATATCCATCCAAATGCCATGATTCAATGCTCTTCTCATGGTTCTCAAAGATTATCTCCACAAAATTTCGGTGGGTCATATTTACAACATTAGGCTGTGTGATGACCTTCCTAATTTTAGCAGGCGGATCGTCTTGAATTGTATCATACTTAAATACCTTGTCTGCAACCCCAAAATACTCGGCAAGTTTTAATGGGGTTTCTGGATCAGCGTGAGAAACGCCATTGATAGCATAACGAAGCTTTCCGCCTGCCCTACTGACCGAGTTAACGAGTTTGATAGTACGAGTAATATTGATTGATCCATAATGATAAGAGCCTTGAGGGTTTGGTCTAGCAGCGCTTGCTGTCAGATTCCAGCGGAAAGAACGGAACTGGTTCAATGACCAAGCCCATCCTACAGGTGCCTCTGGTAATTGAGGTGATGCTTTTCTACCATTTGCGTTAGTGTATCTAATGATGCCTTTACCAGTAAGAATAGTCTTAATGAATCGAGTGGAAGCCACAATATAGTAATCCCTGGGTGCTTGATCGGCTGTCACAAGAACGGTAAGGCACTGCCCAACATGAACATCAAGTGACTCGTACACATTTTGAATCACATGAGAGCCCTCCATCTCTACAAGCTTCATCGTATGGCCTTGGATTCTGAAGTTAATGGATGTTTTGAGCCCAGCATTGCAAATTCTGTACTTGTAGGTTTTTCCAGGCTTCATGGTGAAGAGAGGTTCGTCCTTGCCATCTCCTTTTGCGGTTTTGCCATTGATGAGAACAGCATCTGGTCTACCAAGTGATCGTCCACTGTCCAAGAATGACCTCAGAGCTTTGTGACTTTTGGTGTACCAATCGTTAATAATGACGGTGTAATCATCCTCAGGATCGGGATAAGGGACGGGAATTAGCAAACGGCTATTTATGTTGAGGCCACCAAAAGCACCGGCGGCCCTGTGAAGGGCGGTGCTTGGATAGTACATGAAGCTCCCGATCTGGTCCTTAACTTGAAAGTGATAGGTGTAGTTTGTCCCAGGTTGAATAGGACAATTGGTGCCAAGCACACCTTCTTGCCATGAGTTCTTCCTTTGTTGAATACCACTCCTGTGACAAACACAATGAGACTTTTAGAGCTGAAAGTTCAACTATTGTGGTTATTAGGAAAACAAGAAAAAATAATTAGAGGAGATTTTTTTTTTTTTTCGAAATTTAGAAGGGCGATATAGAAACAAATCACTGTACTATAGATAAAAGATAAAATTTTATGTAAATTTCAAAATAAATTAAAATTAAGGAGTTGACCATTGTTGGCAATCCCCTAGTTCCGTCATTGAATTACTAACTAGTGGTTATATTACAATTTTTTTTTTTTTGGGTAGAACCAGAAAGCTGTAATCAATAAGCATAACACCTCACAAGTATGCATATATGAGCTTCCTCTTACGGAGATTAATATCTCTTGCCACTTTAATTAACACTTTATTAGTGATAAATAAAAATTAATAACGATGAAATTAAATATATATGAATTAAGAATGAAAGTAATAAATTACCATGTCAAAAGGAATGGTTCGTCAAGGTTATTGAAGACATTAACGACAATATTGTTGTTGGTTGTAGAGTTGATGAGAGGTCCAGGAAATTGATCATTGATGAGAATGACCTGTTGGGGAATTCCCAAAGGGGAGAGGGTGCCATATGTGATTTTCCATGTGAAAAACAGGTAAGGGTCTTCGCTATTTACCCCTATCATTGCCCCGGAAAGGAAGCATAAAAATAACACATGCATCACCCCATCCATCTCCCCCAACCCCTTTCTTTTTCTTTTTCTTCTTCTTCTTATAATATATATGTTTTGTGTTTTAACCCTTTCCTATTCTATCTCAAAACTATATGTATATATATGTATATGTTTGCTGTCACTGATGGAAGAAGATGTATATCTTCTTCTATGTTTTTTACATTGCCCCTTTCTTCCCTTTTATACTCCATAGGGAAAACATAAACCATACGAATTACGGAAATGTTCTATGGCTATCCTTACACTTGTAACAAATTTGCTAAAAATAAATAAAAACCATTTCTATTCTTACCACCACTTTAGTTGAACAGCTAGAATTGCTCTATTCTTAGTTAAAAATGAAAATTTTTTTCTTTGATTGTGCTTTGTCTTGCATCCATAATTCTTCTATATTACGTACGTACATTGGTTTGTCAAATTTTAAGTGTTTAATAAAATAGTTCAATTAAGAAAGTTCTAGAATGCAAAATTAAACCAATTAAGTATGATTTATTTGGTTTTCTCACGTATGTAAAAGATTTAGGGAATAACAGGTTTTAAACTCCATAAAATTATTATGGTGAATGTTATTTAAAGGGAGGGTAACCTCTTACGGTGTCATTTATAATATTTACTATGTAATCTATAATAGTTTTCCTCTCCATTGGATTCCCATGAATCAAAACACTATTTAAAATCAAGATTATTCAAGTACCCAAAATTAGACTTGATTAAGGTAAATATTGGATTAAATTAGGCCGAATGCATAAAATCCCTCCTGAACTTTTTCATTTCAGTCATTTGTCAACTTCAACTTTGCGGGGACCGAATTAGCCCTTGAACTCGATTTTTTTTTTTTTTTTTTTTTTTATCCCTCCTGAACTTTTTCATTTCAGTCCATTTGTCAACTTTTCAACTTTGCTCGGGGAACCGAATTAGCGCCTTGATTACTCGGAATTTTTTTTTTTTTTTTTTTTTTTTTTGTTAAATTTTTTTTTTTTTTTTTTTTTTTTTTGTAATTTACAAGCCCATTGTAAGCTAGAACAGTAGCGCGTGAATTCAATGTCCAAAGAAAGCTTGAATGCTTCATTTTAATCCAACGTGGCACAAACAACAGCGTTTTGTTGTTGCACAAATGCAGCTCCCTTCCCGTCTCCTTGTTGTGCCCTACTAGATTGAAAAACAAAAAAGAACAGCAGTCGAAGAAACTGCTACAGATAAAGAGAAGGTCTAACCGGCCATTCCTTGGCTAGTCATGCCAAAAAATAAAAGAAAACAAAAGGGTGGTGGCTGTCTTGATCAGGATTCGCAGCTCAACACTTCCCCGATTGCTGCGCTACACAAGTCAAAAGTGAAGAGGGAGAGGATGATGGTGTAAGAATAAGGAAATCAATCAGAATCAGAAAAATAAGGAAATTGGATCAAGCAAATAAGGAAAGGATCAAACGCAATTATTGTAATATTCTATAATAATTATATGTTGTGTATATAAACTCTGTAATTTATAGATTGAAAGGTATGAAAAAAAGAATTCTTTTTAACCCTAAAAGCTATCAAATGGAGATGTGACGACGACAAGGGAATCGCAGCTCAACACCTCCCCCGTTGCTACGCTACACAGGTCGAAAGTGGGGAGCGAGAGGATGACGGAGATGTGACGATGACAGGGAGGAGTCAATGCTAGCCGGACACAAGCAGATGATAAAAAAAAAACATAAATAAAAATGGAGGGGAGGGTTGTGCACGATCGGGGAGAAGCAAGAAGATAGATTTAGGACTTAGGGGAAATTTAAAACGTTCTAATTGGCTAGAGCTGGTTTGGATTGATTAAGGTTTAGTTTGGCCCAAATCATGGGTTTTTACTTGATTTTTTAATTGGTTTAAAAATTTCTAATGGGTTTACATTGGTTTAACAAATATAAATGTCGTATGGAATAAAATATGCAGACTTGTTTAAAAAAAAAACTGCCATGTAAAAGCAATTGTATTTCATGTTGAATTCTGTGATTGAATAGGGGTGTAAAAGATATAAAAATTGCAAGTTAAGAGGCTAATTAGGATCCCCACAAAGTTAAAGTTGACAAATGGTTAAAATGAAAAAGTTCAGGGGGATTTTATGCATTCGGCAATTTAATTAATAACATTAAACTTTATATAATTTTACATTTATTGTTAAAAATAATAATTAATTGTATGTGTAACTTTTTACTTCTTATCTATGGGAATGAGAGAGAGAAATTATGGGTTTTCAATAATATCTTCGGTTAATTTAAGATATCCTATAATAACTAACGCAGTTGTTTATCCTAAAATAACTAACGTTACTATTTCTATTTCCATAATACCTGTCACATTTGAATTTCACGTTCCTTATTTTAATATTTTTCTTTAGGTTGCTGTGATTTGATTGGATATTTTTAAAATTATATATATATAATTAAGCTTTGCAAATTTATTTTTTACATAAGAAAATTACTTTTTTAGAAAATTTTGAAACTTTTAATTTATTCTTTTATAATTTGATTCAATATATTTTTCTAAAATTATATATATATATAGTTAAAATTCTCAGAATTTTTAAATTTAGCTTTTTAAATAAATATATGCAAAAACGAGATATCCAAATTTTTTATACTGTTCTTTTTAAAAACTATTCTTTAAAATTGTTTACTTTAATATTTAATTGTAATTTAAATAATTTTATATAAGGGAGAAAAGGAAAAGAAAAAAACATTTAATGACCATTAGTCTTGGCAACGGCGCTGAGAATCAATTGATGGCCACAGTATAATGAATCGTCAAAAAACCACCAGTCTTATACACTTTAATTTTTCACATCCAATCCGATGAGTTGCCTTGATGATCTTCAAGGGATTGAGGTTGATGAAGGTGGCCAATGGATGTGAGAACGCGACGTCGTTTTGGATAATGAATAATTGACCTTAGGTTAAACTAAGAGCTTAGATTAATGCAGGATCCATATTATTTATTTTTTTTATTCAAATCCTAGCTCTAATTAGATTTTAGGCTGCGGAGGGATGGTTTTCGTAACCGCGGGCCCCCTCTCTCTCTCTCTCCCGTTCGCCATTAAATTTTTTCCCTTCTCTCTATTAAAACACAAAATAAAACACGTAGATACAGGAAGAGGTCGATTCTTGTCTCTTGTGATAGTCATTTCTTATATTTTTAGTATACTTTTAGTTCTGTTGCAAATTTTTATGTTTTTTGTTAAATAAATTACAGATCTATGTATATTCTAACATTAGATTCATGTTATTTATGTTTCTGATATTGTTTGTATTTTATCTTCATCTTTTGTGGAGTTTATGATCTCTTCATTTTATGTAGAGTTTTATTTTGTTGTTTTTATTTTTTGGTTTATTTAGATAGATTGCAATTTATGGAGAATTTTTCAACTACACAATTATCTTCGTCTTTTGGAGCCTGGTAGTGCGATCTGTTCCGCTATTGAATTTAGTGGTTCAAATCTTTTGTGCTCATCATAAGCATCTATGAAAGCAACAAATTCATAGATAGTTACGCCATAATTAAAGAAGATTCAGGAAGTTCATCTAATCAACCACTTTTGAAGATTTATTCATTTTCTTCAAGTTCATCTTCTATTTTTTATTAAAATTTCTTATTAGATTAGCAAACAATAATTATTTTATAATTTTTATTCTATATCTGATCTTCAGGAAATGAGTTATATCCTCCCTATAATATTTTGTACTGATTTGAAGTTTTTTAATGAAATCCTAATATTATCTTAAAAGAAAAAAAAAAGATTTTAGGGTGCACAAATGACAAAACTTTCATTTCAGGATATGGTTGCCAAAAAGTTGAAAATAGTATACAATTCCGACAAACTCCATAGTTTAGGGTCTTTTTTATCAAACCCAGAAAAACTAAAATAGTTAAGGATTGGGTTTTAAGTTCTTTGATGAAGCCCAATACTGATCCAACCTGGCCCAATTGCAAAAATTATAATATTTGGAATTGAGTCTATTGACCCTGATACCTAAATCTTTTAAAATTAGCTTTAACCATTGAGATAATTACTTGTTTATTACATTTTTAATGTAGATTGTGGACTTGAATATAATATAGTTAAATTTATTTATTTATAAATTTTATATAGGTTATTAAGACTTTTGTATGCAAATTTTTTTATTAATATAAAAAAAAAACTTTTTAAAAATAGAGCTTTTTTTTTTAAAAAAAAAGGAAAATAGAGCTTCTTTTTTAAAAAAAAAAAAAAAAAAAAATTGTATGCCAAATTTTTTAATTAATATAAAAAAAAAACTTTTAAAAATAGAGCTTTTTTTTTTTAAAAAAAAGGAAAATAGAGCTTCTTTTTTAAAAAAAAAAAAAAAAAAAAAAAAAAGCTAAATGTATAGATTGACACTAGACTTTATTTTTTTAAAAAAAAAAAATATAAGGCATCCTTAAATTTTATAAGATCCATTAAATTAATTTTTCAAATAAACGATTTATATTTATTGAACACTTGACATGTCAAATTACAGTTATTGAATGTTTCATATTATAAAATTGTATTTATTTATCACTTTTAAATAGTTAAAACTGCAAAAATTATTATTTAGTACTTTATGTTAAAATATGTATAAAATATCCTACTGGTATGATAGTATTTATATTTATTAATAGAAAAACATAGTTGCAATTATAATTTAGTACTACTTAAAAGCATGGACAGGAAATAAATTTTGAAATGATTGAAATTATAATATGATGACAACTATTATTTTAGTAAAATAATGAAATATATAATATTTAAGATATATTTACAAAGTTAATTGAAATTTTCGAAACATACAATTTTTCATAAATCGAAAGCAAATTTGGCATTATAAAAAAATTGAATATTCATTAATTTTTAAAGATATATTTACAAAGTTAATTGAAATTTTCGAAACATACAATTTTTCATAAATCGAAAGCAAATTTGGTATTATAAAGAAAAATTGATTATTTGTTAGTTTTTAATTAATTTATTTTGAAGTAGGAACTAATATCTTGAAGTTTTGTTTTTACTTTTTAAAAAGGTTGAAGTGAAATTTTTATTAGATACATAAAATTAATATTTAAATAATCTAAATCTAATACATGGGCAAAAGAAAATTATGTATGGGTATTGAAATTTTTAATTTATTTCTCTAATTTTATGCTCTTATTATTTGTTAAAAATAATTAATATAGTGTATGTTTTTTTAATCTCAAAAATAATCATAACAAATGAATAAAACTGAATTTTGCTTTTTAAAAAATAAATTGGTTTTAAAAGTAAAAGGTAATTTAAATATTTTTAAATCTACCGACTTATATTTAAATAGTGTTAATCTAAGTTTCAATACAAACTTCTTCTATACGGATAAAGAAAATCTTCATTCTTTACACTGTCTTAGGGAGTTTTAATAAATTTATAGATTACATAAAAATAAAAACTGATCCATCCAAATGTGGCTACATGTTTCATTACAAGAAATGAAATATTGTAAATTTCAATATGAAAGAATTAAAAAAGAAAACAAAAATGAGATGGCATTTTGAAAGGGGTTTATACCGACGAACACAATTGAATAAGGCAACAGACTCCAACCCAGTTATTATGTAGAATCACCTACTGCATCTATGAATTTGCTTCCACAACTTGTAACTCTTCTCTGTCAAAGAGGTATGGAATAATTAGATCTTAAGCTGGTTAGATGACGTAAGGTGGAGGCTTGGGCAAGTCTTTCACGAGCCCGCAGAGCAAAGCATTGTCTGGGATATTGTACTCGTCCCTAAGAGAGCGTGCAGGAGAAAGAACGCTAGCGTAAAGCTGTTGGCCCAGATAAGTCTTCTCCCATATCTCAGACCTTATGTTCCACATTCCAGCGTTATCAAATGTCAAAAGAATGGCTGCCCAAGATTTGGGATATACTTGCACAGTGTGCCTGCTCACTGCATCAAGAAGATTGTAGTTGTTCCTTTTCTCAGGAGTCCAGGTGCCAGGCTCTACTGCGACTGCGAAGAAAGAATAACCATCCAAATGCCATGACTGAATAGTCTTCTCAGGGTTCTCAAAGATGATCTCCACAAAATCACGGAAGGTCATGTTCATCACATTAGGCGCTAGGGTAGCCTCTTCAACTTTAGCTGGTGGGTCGTCCTTAATGGTGTCGTACTTGAAAACTTTGTCTGCGATGCCAAAATATTCAGCAAGCTTTAGTGGGGTTTCAGGATTAGTGTGAGAAACACCATTAACGGCGTAACGAAGCTTGCCGCCTGCCTTGGTGGCTTGGCTGATAAATTTGATAGTGCGAGTAATGTTGATAGATCCGTAATGGAATGAGCCCTGAGGATTTGGCCTGGCAGCACTTGCTGTGAGATTCCATCTGAAAGAACGGAATTGATTCAAAGACCATGCCCATCCAACGGGAGCTTCTGGGAGTTCAGGTGATGCTGGGCCCTTGCCATTGGTATATCTTATAATGCCTTTTGCAGTTAAGACTGTTTTAAGGAATCGGGTGGAAGCCACCATGTAATAGTCCTTGGGTTCCTTATCGGCTGTAACAAGCACGCTAAAGCATTGGCCAACATGAACATCAAGAGACTCGTACACATTTTGCACCGTGTGGGATCCCTCCATTTCTACGAGCATCATTGTGTGTCCTTGGATTCTAAAGTTTAACGATGCCTTAAGCCCAGCATTGCAAATCCTGTACTTGTACACCTTTTCAGGTTTCATTTCGAAGAGAGGTTCGTCTTTACCATCGCCTTTGGCATTTTTACCGTTGATTAGAACACCGTCAGGTCTTCCCAGAACACGTCCCTCGTCCAAGAAACTCCTTAGAGCTTTATGGTCCTTAGTGTACCAGTCATTAATAATGACGGTGTAGTCATCTTCAGGTGGAGCATAAGGGACAGGGATGAGCAAACGACTGTTAATACGGAGACCGCCAAAAGCACCGGATGCCCTGTGCATGGCTGTGCTTGGGTAGTAGATGAAGCTTCCAATCTGATCCTTGACTTGGAAATGATAGGTGTGATTGGTTCCAGGTTGGATGGGGCAGTTCGTTCCGAGCATTCCTTCTTGCCAAGAATTTTTTCTCTGTTGGATTCCGCTCCTATATACAACAAAAATGCATATTCATCAATTGAATATGAAATGAAAAATTTAAATATATATACATATGTAATGAAAAATAAAAATTAATTTACCATGTGAGAAGGAATGGCTCGTCAATGTTGTTGAAGACATTGACAACAACATTGTTGTTAGTCGTAGAGTTGATGTTGGGTCCAGGAAATTCATTGTTGATCAGAATTGCTTGCTGGGGAACTCCCAAAGGAGAGATGGTACCATAGGTGATATTCCATTCGAAGAACAAATAAGGATCTTCACCTTCTACACCCAACATCGCTCCTGCAACCAGGCATACTAATAGAACTTTTATAATGCCACCCATTTTTTTTAATATTGGTATATTCTACTTTTTTTTTTTATTTTTTCCTACTTTATTTATTAGCTTTTTCTGATAATTTTTTTTTCTTTCTTCAATGGAAGAAGATCATGTTTTGCTTTTTTCTGCGTTCCTAATGCTCCCATTCTCCATTTATATATCAAAGGATCCTCTTTCATGGAAGCATAGTAACCATTTGAGCCCCACAAATTTCTCATTTTCTTTATCCTTCCATTTTGCTCTTCCTCACACTTGTCCCATTCCTATTCAAAAACGCACGCTATTTTTATTCTCTAATTGACTCTAGCAAAGCCTTTGTATTATTCTTAATTTATTTCTGCTCTCTGGTTATTTATTTCTATTTTCATTTAAACCACTGAGTTAAATATTGTGAATTTATATACATGTGATTATATATATATTTGTTTGGTTCATTAGGAGTCATAAATTGTGGCCACGAGGACTTGAACTCGTAAATTCTCATCGTACTCTTCATATAAGTTTATATTAAGAAGACCAATTAAATTATACTTTATCACTACGTATGCTAATATATACACGGATTCAAAATAGAATTCCTAGGTTATTTAATAATGTATTTATTCACATATTAAATCCTAATTCATCTATATCTCACTCTCTCTTAGGGATGTTCAATATTCATTGTAAAACCGCCAAACCAAATTCAGCGGTTAAGTTCAATTTGTTTACCATGAAAAAACAGTTTCGTTTATAAATTTTGAAAAAAAAAAAAAGTTTACAGTTCCGGTTCAATTTTTTATTTGAATAATCCAAACCGAACCGTAGACCATACATATAATAGTATATAATATAGTAACTAAACTTTATACCAAATATAATCTACAAAATTATAAAATAGTTTTCTTTAGTCTTTAACTTAATTTACTTTGAGAAATTTATTATTTTCTGAATATTATTTACTTAATTAATTAGTTATATATAAGTTTGTAACTTTCAACGGCATTAAAATGTCTTTTGTATATCCCCTCAAAAAAAATAAAAAGTTTCTTGTTTAGTTTTTAAATCAATATATACTCCATCACTCTCATTTTGTTTGCTTGTTATTTTTTTTTTAGATGTTTCAAAATGTTTGTAGGGTTCTAAATTTAGATATGTAAATAATTATTTTTCTCATAATAACATTTGTGATCATTCATTAATGATAGATTTTTTTAATATCTTCAATGAGTTAAAGGGTAAAAAAAAAAGATAAAATAGCTTTTATTGACTAAATTCTTAATATACGTGTTTTGTCGAACCATATAAATAAAATGGGATGGAAAGAGTATGATTTTAGTGTTATGTATAAACCATTTTAAAAACTGAACCAAATTATATTATTTCAATTCAGCTAGACATGACCACGGTTCGATTCCAAACTAAAACCGAATCGAAATAGAACCGTGATCAATGTTTCAAGGTTCCAATCGTAACGAAAATTGACGGTTTTTGGTTTTGAAACCGCCGGTTTTGGTTTTGAAACCGGGGGTTTTAGTTTTGAAACCGTTAAAAAAAAAAAATCACATTTCACACATGATTTTTTTTTTTTTTTAGAAGAACTTCACACATGATTTTTAATTGCTACATTAATTTTATTTTCATCATTAAATGCAGTAACTTTACTATGATCTTAAAATTTATTAGTATAAATATAATTTATAAATTATAAGTTGAAAAAGCGAAAAAAAAAATCCTCATTTAAATTTTTTTAATTTAAATATTTTATCGCTTATAATATATATTTTTTACATATGAATTAAACAATATTTATTTAAAATTTATTTTTGACTCTTAAATAAAAATAAAAAGATATTTTTTCTCCCTTACAACTACAACGGTTAAAAAACAGCAATTTGAAGGGTATTTTTTAGAATAAAACTTTATATTGTAATTTTTTTTAACTCTTAATTTAGATGGAAATGCATTTTACTCCTTTATAACAGGCAAAAAAACCGCTACTTGAAGGGTATATATTGGAATAAAAAATTCATATTATGATATTTTTTGTTAAATATTAAATAAAATTAAAAGACATTTTTATCCTTTATAATAGTTAACAAACGGAAAATGAACTATAAATACCTTAACAATCTTCCTTTTTTATAATATCAATTCTTTTTCTTTAAACTTCATTGAATTTCTCCTATCATTTCTTTTTTCCTAATATAAATTAAGTAAAATTCCATTTTTTTGACATGTTTATCAATTTAAATTTATAGAAATTAAAAGCTAGTAAAGAATTTTAAATTTACGTTTTGTGTAGTTATAATTTTTTAATAAATTTTAAAACTATTAATTTACTCTTTTTAGTCCTTTTTTTTTTTTTAAATTTAATACTATTATTTGTTATTAATTTTCTTATTTAGCTAAAAAGACTAAAAAGGTTAAAAAAGAGTTATCTAAATTTGGTTCCGATTCGGAACCAGCAGTTTTATTATTTAACCAGCTCATCATCATCTTAATCTTTTATTATTTCTACCAAATAAATTGCATAATACACTTTTAACTTTTTTTTTATTATTATTCCGTGGTTACTAAACACCCAGGAATGAATTATATTTTCTATTTCCTTCCGTACTACATTTTTATTTCATTCCTTATTTCCAACTAAACACAGAATCATCAACCAAAATTTATTAAAATTTTTTAATCAAAATAACAGTAATAGAGGGAGCACAAACGCATCATGTAAGCAAACATAAGATTTCCAGAACCCCTATCATATGAGCTTTATCGACTCAATTGTATGACAGGCAGCAAACACTATAATAACATGACCATGAAAAAAGAAACGGTCTTAATTTCTTATATTTTAATCAATCCCTTCAAAAACCTTAAGCTTAAAATGTGAAGCAATATTGCAGTCAAGGTCAATAATAAGCTCTAGCATAAAACGCTCGAATAAAAGTTTAAAAATGCTACCAAAATTACTCCGATAAACATTTCAAAACACTATCATGCAACAGTCTGAGCAGTTGCGAGCCTCTTTCTTGCCTCCTCGATGATCGAGAGCTTGATACCCTTGCCTTTGGGAAGAGAAACCCATGGTTTGGTCCCCTTTCCGATGGTGAACACATTGCCCAACCGGGTGGCAAACTCATGGCCAGTTGCATCTTGGATATGAATAGTCTCGAAACTCCCCTTATGCTTCTCCCTATTTTTAATGACTCCAACTCGCCCCCTATTCCTACCTCCAGTGACCATGACAACGTTTCCAACATCAAACTTGATGAAGTCAGTTATTTTGTTGCTCTCAAGGTCTAGCTTGATGGTGTCATTAGCCTTGATTAGAGGATCTGGGTAGCGAATAGTGCGGCCATCATAGGTGTTCAAGTAAGGGATGCCCTTTTGGCCAAATTGAACAGATCGGACCTTGCAAAGCTTAAACTGTATGAATCAATGCAATTAAAATCACACGTCATATGCCATACAAGAGAAATCACTACAGAACTAACACAACTAACATTGTTTCCATCAGATTAGTGCCAAGACAGACATTACACATTAACTGAAAAAAACAACGGAGCACAAAACTTAAGCCTTAAGCAGAAGAATCAGACAAACCTTTGCCTCATCATCTCTAATGGAGTGGAGACGGAAGCGGCCTTTAGTGTCATACAGGAGACGGAAGTTCTCATTTGTCTTCGGAATCGACACAACATCTGTTAAACAAATATCAAAGTATATATTACAAACAGAGATTGCATCACGCAAGGCAGTAAAATGCCAAAGAGGATCATGTACAAGCTAAGCACAGGGGTGTAATCTTAATTACGGATAACATTATGATAACAAGAACAGAGATGTAAAAAAATCCACATCAGATTGCATTTGGCAAACGCAGAATTTAGTTACAGAGGCCTTTTGGAAGCACCCACTTCAAAGGGAAAGATAAATAAAATCTACTCACATTTAGAACATTAAATCCATTAAAATAATAAGCAAACAAAAATAAAAGAAAACTTAAAAGCAATAAAGGGTAAGCTCACATACCCATGAAACCAGCAGGGTATGTTTTATCCGTCCTAACCTTCCCATCAACAAGAACATGTCGTTGCATCAGAATAGCGATGACTTCACGATATGTGAGAGCATACTTCAGCCTGTTGCGCAGAATAAGGATCAAAGGCAAGCACTCCCTGGACTTATGAGGTCCAGATGATGGTTTGGGCGCCTAATGCCACAATGCAAGACAAAAAAAATCAACAGTAAGGAGCCAGGGTGCAGTAACAAAGGAACACATAACATAAAAACAATAAGTCAAAGATTAGTAACATACAAATGCACCACCAAGTTTGTCAAGCATCCAATGTTTCGGGGCATTAAGCCTCTTCAAGTGTTTCTTCAACCCTCTTGCCTGTAATGCACCAGAAAAATAGTAAATAAAAAACAGAATGAAAGAACTCTAGCAGTTTATACATATAATACTTCTATTCAAAGCAACAGAAACGACAGTACAAGTATATAACAAATAAGACAAACACTGTGATTCTATTTCTATAACCTGCAAAGAAGAATCGATTAAAGGGTTCGACAGCACCAAGTAGGAACAAAAAGGAGCACCCTCTATAACAAGAATCAGTTTTGTTTAGGGTCGTATAAGTCTAAAAGCAGAACTATAATGTCATACGATAGAAAAGAAATTTTTGAATTCTCAAAATCCACAGAACAAATCTTCTCTAGATCCAAAAAAGACTTCTTCAACACTCAAATGCATATAATGCAGAACAAGGGTACCCCATCGTAAACACCGAAACAAGAGCAGAGATTGTTACACCCCTTCAATTTGCTCCTTTATAATATCGAAGGAAAATAAGATACTATAGAATCTCTCTTTCTCTCACACTAATCAACAAGATCAGACAAAATAAATATTCATTTCCACTAAAAACCGCCATTGACACTGATTTAATCGTACATTAGAGAAGCTAGAGATTAAGCAATTTTACCATTTTTAAGCTTCTTCCTTCTCGTCCTCCTCAGAAACTCTCGCCGCCAGCTAGCTTCGTCTCAGTGGGTTAGGGTTAGGCCGTTCAGCGTTTATGTGAAGAGCAAAAAGACATTATATATATATGAATTTTTTTTCCAATTTTTTATTAACCCGAAACTGGACTTAGAATTACCAAAACGCCTCGACATTTAAGTCAATTTACATCCCTGTCCTATCCTTTTTTTTTTTTTTTAATTGAATAAAATAATTCTTAATTAAAAAAATATAAGTCAATTGAAATTATTCTATTGCAAAAGGTTTTTACAAGATACAACGCTTACGAAATTCCTCTAAGTTATACCAAATTTTAACACTCCAATGCAACAAAATTCAACATGCAGAATTTAGTTATAAATGAATTTCAATTAAAATTTATTTGTAGGATAAATTATATTGTAATATAAAATATATAATTTAATTGAATTTTGTAAATTATAGTTAAAATAAGTTCCAAATTAAAAATTTAATCATACTTATATTCCCTAATTTATCTTGAATACAATAATGATATGAAAGTCGATAATAAATAATAGTTATATTTATTTTATATAAAATAATAATCATGTTCTTGTGGTCAAAAACATATAATTAAAAAAGAATTATTTTGACATTAATAAAATTTAACTCTATAAATAAAATGGATGCTTTAATTAACGTTATTTCAATTTTAGCATTAATATATAACACACACATATTAACTAACTAATAAACTTATGAGCAACGCTAAATGGCTCAAATTGATTTTGGCTCAACAAGAATCTTTGGTTGTGTATTTACTTAATTGGTCTTTACAATTACAATAAATATGATTTTATTTATAATATGTTGATTTGCCAGTAAAGAAGCCATTTTTTTCTCAAACTTCACCAAATTTAGCAAAACCAGTCTCAAATCCAACTCCAATTTCTATTGACAGTGAGCTACTTTGCCGGAAAACAGCTTTGAAACTCACTGTCAACCTCCATACACAGTGATTCTGAGTTTTGACATTTATCGTTCAATCTCAAGCCAAATACATAGATTGCCCCTTGAATTTTTTTTTTTTTTAAAAAAAATCATATGGTACCCTTAACTTTGCGGGGACCACTTATGCATTTGAAGTTCATTTTTTTTCATCATTTATGTTCTGAGCTCGCACATGAAGCACAAACATGCCGACATGGATAAGTAATTGAACATGGGTCCATTTTATTGCCATATATGCAATTTTTATTGCCACATTAGCCCTCTCTTCTTCATTTACTTTGAGTCATTCTTCTCCTCATGAAGTTGTTCTTTGTTAGCAACTTTTATCATCTCAAGTTCACCCTTAAGGTTCAAAAAATTTTCTTTATAAAAAAATTCCTTTCACCTGAAATGAAATCATTTTCGTTGGAGAATTTACAGTTAAAAGGAGTTTTCCTAAGAAGAGGTTAAGGACTATTCATAGAGGACAAATAACAATAATCCCTACAATTATCAAGAAAGCATTAGCAAAATTAGCAATTCAATGTGGAGTGGGTTTTGCTTGGTGGCTTATCTTCAAAATTGCAATAATATCTTACTCATCAATTTTCCTATTCAGTTACAACAAAATTTCAAGTTTACCATAAAATGAAACTTTCCATCAAGTTTCTTGGATTTCATTTCTTATGTTTCTCAAGAATGTCAAGAAAAAAACAAAGACAAAAGTATTTACTAGCTCAGCTAAACATGTTTATTAAAATCTTGTAGAATTGAAGAAACTAGGTAGGTATGCATTCAAATTTTCATCATACAAATAAATTCAGATTTGCCTACAAAAGCTCATAAGAAAATTTCTGTGGAAATCGATAAATTGAGATTACACACAGAAAGAGAGGTGATGGTTTAGAATGTTAATCTTGTATGGCGGCCTCATTAGGGAAGGACAGAGTAAAAGGTAACGGGTTAAGTTTAACAAATTCTCGCAAACTTGTTCGTCTGCAATTTAAACAGCTTTAAAGAAGCTAAATATAGTGAAAATGAGTGTTTGTAGCTAGATAAACCACAAATGACATCGTTTACGCCATAGTGGACAAGATTTTTCCGTGTTGGCATAAATTTATGTACTTCACGCTCTTACCTGTGATTGACTACATGCTCTCGTTTGCCAGCATGGAGAGGTGTACGAATGATGCAAAAAAGTGAACTTCAAGTGCATAAGTGGTCCCTCGCAAAATTAAAGGTGCCGTAGGATTTTTCTTTGAAAGTTCAGGAGGCGATCTATGTATTTGGTCTTCAATCTCACAAAATACCCAACCAAACTTAAATATTTTTGAGGCAAAATGAAAATTAAGAAGTGCTTAAACAATCCTTACCTTTGATTTGCATTGACACTAATTGAAGTGTCTAGATTTTTATCGATGAAGAAAAATCTCCACTATAAATTTAAGTTCATTACTTCAATTTGGAAGAAAGATGTACTAATCGGTTAAATAGATAGGGGCCAAATACACATTTTGGACCCTATACTTTTTTAAAAAACCTTATAGCCCCTTATACTTTGTGGGGTCTTATAAGGTACTTCTATTTATTTTTTTCATGTTTAATAGATATCTATTCTGGCAAATGAAGCGCGTGCAACTCAAATAGAATGACATGGCAAAAATGTAATGACATGTGAGAGAGAGAAACACATCATATGCCACGTTATATTAGATGGTTTTTTTCCCTCCAATTTGGACTTTCCAATTTTTTGTTTTTGTTTTTATCTGCAACTAACTCATTAACACATAAAATTCTCTAAATATGGCATTCAAGTATCCAATCCTTCTATGAATATGTTGTTTCTTTTATGTGAATCTTTTTTATCTAATAAGCAACTGCTTACATTTTAAAGAGCTTATATTAGAACTGGTCTTGCTCCAATGATCATATTCTTATTGGTTTGATACTGAATGTAGGGTTTATGATATAAAACATGGAAAAAAAAAAATCTATGACTAATATTTCAATTTTATTTTCAATGCAAACCGTTGGCCCAACCACTGAGTGAAAATTGCTGCAAGAAATTTAAAGTGGTTACATGCCATGAGCTTTTGACCTTCCATCTAATAGGTATAACTACTGTAAAACCCTTTAAATCTCCATCTAGCCTATATATATTTTCTTTATAACTCCCGGAGTTGAATTCATGGGACTATTATCATTGGGATAAGTTACTCAGGAACATTGAATCCACTATTATTTTGTTTGATAGAGAAAGTTTATTGGACCAAGCAGCACAGGGACATTAGTTTCCCTCCCATGTCTAAAGAGAAGGGAAAGAAGCGTAGGCTTTTTTCTTTTATAGTAACTAGAGTTTGCACAAACCAAAGCAAGAGTTTCATCTTCTTCACTATTTTGATGTTCAACTTTCTTTAACTGATGGTAACGATGGTAGTGGACCATTTATAAATAAAGCTTGCTCCTTTTTCTTTATTTTTTTATATATTTTTCTCTATAGAGCTTATGTCCTATGCTAGCTCTGTTTCTGGTCCTGAGTTTTGAAGAGAAAACAATGAGAAAGAAATGGAAAACTTTTTGTGCAACTAGTTATGCACAAAATCCAGTTAAGAAAATAAAAGAGAAATAAAAATGTTTATAGCTTGGAAGTATGGGTGATGAAGGACAAGAAACAAAGCGACTATCTTTGAGTTATTCTTGGAAGTTGTTTTCTGGGTTTATGTGGTTTTTTCCTTTAACAAATTCTTTTAAATCCAAACTTAAAAATGACTAAGAATGAAGAAAAAAATAGGGTGATATGAAGAATGGAAGGCGGAGGTGGTGGTGGTGGTGGTAGAGATAGAAGGAATGTAGGAGCAGAGAAGAGAAGGAGGTGGTGACTAGAAAAACGGGAGGCTAAAACTTGAGCTTTTGACAATTTCAAATAATAAAATTCCCACATTTGAAACATTCTAGGTGTCATTATGGCAATTAAACGAGCTTTTGCTCTCCTAACACTCGTGTGGTCACTCACGCACCACTTCTAGCATGGTGGGGTATTTATTAAATATGAAAAAAAATAACTAGAAGTACCTTATAGGATCCCAACAAAGTATAAGGGGCCACAAGATTTTTAAAGCACAGCGTCCAAAATATGCATTTAGCTAATAGATGAGTGAAAAGAATGAGGTTGGAGAAGAGAAGAGATTGAGGTTGAAGAAGAGTGAAACTAGGGATGCAATTTAATCGGACCCGGCAGGTATCCGACTCGATCCAACCCGATTTTGGCAGGTTTGGATAGTGTATAAACAGGTTTGGAATGGATTTAAGTAGTGATTTTAGTATCCGCATAGGGTTCAGAATGAATTTGGGTTCAAATGGGCGATTAACGGTACCTGATATGGTCTAAAGCACAATTATGTTGATAAACTATATTGTACCTATTACCTTTATATATCAATTAAGTTACCTTACCACCAAGTTACTTAACATTCTTGTGAAAAAAATACGCAAAAGATATATATATATATTGACAACTATAATAATTTATACTTCAAACATTTATTAATGAATAATATATTATTGGATAGTAATATAATCTTATTCATAAGTAAACTTTTAATAAAATTATGTACATTAAATTATAATTTCTTAATAAATTGAATTTTTTTCGTAAAATATATTAAACAAAATTATATATATAATATTACAGAATGCTAATAATGTTATAATTAAAAAATTTTAAAGCTACTTATCAACATTGCAAGTAAACTTCTAATGATAATTATAAGTAGATCTTAATTTAAAATATGACTCATGTGAAATATGAAATCTAGATAGATTTTTAGTAAATTAGAATATGACTATAAAATATCATCAATGAATTTATAAATATAATTATAATTGAATTTTAGTTAAATGTCTTTTTATTTTTTTATTACTATCATCATATATATTGGTATACTTATACTTAGAAGTCTAGTGTATATAGATTAAGGATTACAACAATCATAATTAATTATAAACTACTAAGCATATTCTCTAATAAAAAAATATTAAATTTAAACATAATATTTTGTTATTACACTTACTATAATATTGAAATATAATTACAACCTTTTAATTAATAATTAATAACTAATAATATAACAACAACTTTAAGAATAATAAGAATA